TCAGCGGCCTTTTGTGTTGTGTGGTTGGTGGTATGATTTTTGGGATTTGGAGTTTAATTTCATGCTAAGGGAAGGAGTTGATCATGGTTTTTTTCTTCGTATTGTGAAGGTGGTGGACGTGTGTTAAGCAAGAGTTATTTGTTTGGGTGAAGAAGGTTATTTGTGCCAGCCAAGATGATGCATTTTGTAGTTGAAGATTGAAGATTAATAGTTATTTATTTTGATTTGGTTGATGAATTGGAACGACTTGGTTGAAGGTAGATCATCATTTAAAAAATTTTATGATTTTATTGAACAATGATCTAATATTATCATATTAACAGGTTTGGTGATACTATATTAGTTGAAAAACATAGACAACGATCTAAAGTCCAGAATCAGTGATTGTTTGAGTACATTGGTTGGAGTTTCAGTTCAATCTTTTGCCTTTTTCTTTGAAGCATTCCACGTACACGGATCTTCAACAGGTTAGTGTTATTTTTTGTTTGTTTTTAATTTGAAAATACGAATGCCTTTTTAATGTGTTATTTAATATTTTTTGCTATATTTTTTAATGAATATATGAATGTTTTAATGTATTTTGTTTATTTAATATATGAATGTATCATAATATGAATAAGATATGTTTAATGAATATATGAATGCATGATGTTAATTATAGTATGATTATTTGTTTAAGTAAAAATAGATGGAAGAAGAATTAGATTTGTCGTACTTTGACCGTGAAGATATAGACGACGATGTGGTTGGTGTAGACTTTAATATAGTCGCAATGCTACATCAACAATTACAACTAACGACCTCACTGGCTACACTAACAATGTTATGCATTGTTTGTCATGCCTTGAATATATTGAATATGTGCTCGAGTGATCCAAGTTGTGTTAACACTTTCCTTCCCGACAAAGACCGTCGCAAGCAACAGTTAATGTCTTATCTGGTGCATACTAATCGATGTCGTGACATTATTCGGATGAGTGCAGAGGCATTTATTAATCTTTGTGAGAGACTAAGAACAACTGGGTTAGTTAAAGACGTTATTCGCTCGACAGTGGAGGAACAAGTAGCTCAATTTCTTCATATAATTGGGCATAATGGGAATTAAAGTGTCGCATTTTTCTTTCATCGATCTGGGGCAACGGTTAGCAAACACTTTCACAATGTGTTGGATGCTATTTTAAGTCTAGAATCAGAATTTTTAACTCAGCCATCAGGAGACGAGGTTCATCCATATGTCTTAAACAACAATCGGTTTTATCCTTACTTTAAGGTAATCATATGAATGTGTCAGTACTGATGTAATTTTATGAAACAATGTTTATGTCACGCCGTTGTATGATGACTTGTTAATTGAATGTTTATGATTGCTTAGGGGCCATAGATGGTACTCATGTTCGAGTAAGGGTGCCAAGAACAGATGCTCCGAGATTTCGTGGAAGAAAAAATTGGCCAACTCAAAATGTGCTTGCCGCATGTGACTTTGATATGAAATTCACATACGTTCTAGCTGGGTGGGAAGGAACAACATCTGATTCTAGAATCTTAAAAAATGCTCTTGATCGAGATGATCCATTGGTCATCCCTTAAGGTAAGTGTCTTCATTGGGATGTTATGATTGGTTCTTTATTAGTTACTAAATCAAATGTTATGCATTATTGTAGGAAAGTACTATCTTGGTGACGCTAGATTTATGCTTAAAAGTACGGTTATGACACCATACAGAGGCGTCAGATATCACCTTAAAGAATTTACACGCAGAGGACCACAAAATGCACGCGAGCTCTTTAACCATAGACATTCATCATTGAGAAATGTTATTGAAAGAACATTCGGTGTATTGAAGAAAAGGTTTCCTATCATTGCAAGTGGCACTGAACCACATTATGGATTGGAGACAATGACAAATGTTATTTTAGCTTGTTGTATCCTACACAACTTTATCCGTGGAGTTGATAACGATGACTCATTGCTTAATGAGGTTGATAATGAGTTAAATGAAAGGCAAGAGCATAATGGGTCATCTTCTTAAGTTCGAGAAGATGATTATAGGGTTGGTAGTACTATTAGGGATGCCATAGCTGATGAAATGTGGCGAGATTATCAAAATTTATAGTTATTATAATTAATAGTTTTTAATGACTTTGTTCTTTGAATATGACATGTACTTGGTTTTATGATTAACTCAACTTCACTTGTTACGATTTTCTTTATGAAATAGGATTAATATGGACAAGGGTAAGGGAGCAACCATTGAGTCATCTACCGGTACACGAGAGTTCATTAAATGGACTGAGGACATGGATGCTAGGCTTTTGCATTCTATGATCGAGGAGACTCGTTTGGATAATAGGATTGATGGCAGTTGGACAACCCAAGCGTATAATGACATGGTTCAATACCTTCATAGTTGTGGTTATGTTAATGTTAGTAAAAATAATGTCAAAAATCGTTAAAAGGTATTAAAAGACAGATGGCGTGAGGTTCATGACCTCTTTGGTGGATTGAGCAGATTTGGTTGGAACACCGTAACTATGAGATTTGAAGCTGAGGATGAAGTGTGGGCTGACCTCATTCAGGTATTTGTTAAATATTCAGATATGGTAGATTTTTCAAATACATAAGTTCAACCACTATCTGTTTCATGAATGTTGTTTCAGTCGAGGCCAAGTGCAACAAAGTGGAGAGTTAATAGCATCAGACACTACGATTTAATGGTGGAGTTATGGGCTGCGGATCGAGCAACTGGGAGTGGTTAAGGATCGCTCGTCAAGCGCGTCGTCAGCGGGTTGGGCCTCGTCTATAAGTTTATCTGAATCAGAATATGGAGTACATTCCTGAAGAGCCTACATATCAGGAGTATAGAGACCCAACTGCACCATTACCTCCTCCATCCGTGGATGAGTACAGTCCAGGGCAGACTCAATTTGTGTCATCCGTTCCATCCGGAGGAACTTCATCCTCAAGAGGTTCCAAAAGGAAGGCACCTATGGTCGATGTGATAGATGCGCAATTTGATAAGTTGACCACCGGCCTCGATGGTTTCACAAATGTCCTTGACTCTACAAATGTTCACATCGGTGTAATTTCTGGTGCTGCCGTACGTCAAGTCTCAGCAATGGAAGATAGAAATCAAATACTCCATCGCACCAGTATTTGATTTCTATCTTCCATTGCTGAGACTTGACGTAGGACAGCACCAGAAATTACTCAACATTTCATAAATGTCGCCCTCTGTGTTGTTGAGTGCTATGAATATTGCTGATGAAAACTTGCTCGATCAATGTTATGATTTCTTATGTTCAAACCCCACATGTACAAAGAGGTTAATGGGACTTCTACCACACAAAAGGTGGAACAAGTTATGTAAAATGATATCGGGTGGTGAATGTTAGAATGTTTTGCAATCTTTTTAGTTGTGTTTCTCAATTATACTATTACATCTTGGGCTTCATCCATGTTGAATATTGAAGTTAAGGTTATGGTTATGATCTAATGTTTTGTCTTTAATTATTGTTATTTATAATATTGTTTAATTTGTTATGACTTAACTTATGCATGTTTTTATGTATGGTTTTGTTGAAGAAATTGTTAAATGACCTCATCATCAACCAAAAGACCTAGAAAAAGTCGTAAGGGAAAAGAATCTATAACTGAGCCAGAAGATGCAGCCTATGTCAGACCATCTCTTGAAGAACAATTAGATCAGCGTCGTTTCTTCAGTCATAACCATCAGATGGAAAACTACGCAGCTGATTTCTACACAAGGAATATTGTTGTCCCAAAAATAATGAATTTCGAATAATTTGCCGATTCAAACTTATTTTTTACTCATCATCTTCTATTTCAAGGAATGGTTGAATTTGTGACGTTGCATGCACCCTTCTATTCGGATTTGATCAAAGTTTTTTATTCAAATCTGAAGATTTCTGGTAATGGATATTTGGTCAGTGAGGTCAACAAGACAAGAATTAAATTGAAACCTGCTGATTGGTTGAATGTTGCTAATATGAAGTATGAGGGTCAAAAATTGTGTTACTCAACTATCCCAGACGACTTTCCCTATGATCGAGATATGTCATTAGCTACTATGGTTAGACCAGAAATGCAAGATAAACGTGTTAAATGCAGGGTAAACTCAAATAAACACACAAAAAATTATCATCAAATCCACTCTCCCCAAATCATCTCTCCCAATCACTTCTAAGTGAACACACTCTTAAAGTCATTTACTCTCATGACTTGTTTATTTCTGTAAAAAAAAAGTTGTCTAAATACATCGCTGTCTATTTCCATAAAAAAAATTATCTAAATATATAATAAATTCAAAATCACTTTTGCCTGTAAAGAAAACCAATTCTTCCTATTCAGGAGTAATAAAATATGACAATCGCAGCACTTGTACGAAAGAAAACGACAATTCCTCCCATTCCCCCCTTTCTGATACGGAATGTTACATTGTGACAAGGCCGTGGACAGCTACATTCTGGTACGAGGTACACATGGACAGAGATCTCATGTTAATTTTTCAAAATCAGGGTACTATGATTCCTTGGCAGTCACTTTCACTAGGCATAGCTTCATCATACAATATGAATACCAAGTAAAGGAAATTTCAAAAACCCTGGACTGCAAAGCGTGGCTATTCAACGGTAGTACAACGACAACTGAGTAATGGATGTGTTTAAAGGTCATGTATTTAATAACCCATATTTCACTAGTGCATTCCCAGAATAAAAAAATAAAAAAAATTTCAACCTGAATCAATGTTGAGGGTCTCCTCATCAGTAGTCTTTCTTTAATATAGATTTATTTTTGAAACCCAAATCTGAAAAGCATCACAATCAGCGAGTGACACGTACTACCTCGAGATACAAAATCGATGGGATTGCACGGTGATTTATCTCAATTTAACATCTTTGCTATGCTTTCTTTCATCGGGGAAGGGGTGGTGCTTGAAAGCTGTCCAAAAGTAATTGGCGGACCAAAAACTGACAGAACTATAACTATAGAAGATAACATCATTTCCCCAAAATTTATATCATTACATAAAAAAGAAAAAACTTCATGAAGACACCTTTGATCTCAAGTTATAGAAATCAGTAACAACTGTATTTATTGATTGTTATGAAGCTACAACAGTTCATGTATTTAGCGAGAAGGATAAATCTCAGACACCCCTTAACATCAGGCACCCACCCTATCACGCGGAATCAAACGCAATTCTGAACCATGCTTAAGGAAGACATTGCCTGCAGAGATCGATATATGCAAGTCAATGAAAGATACCAACTACCATAAACCTATATATAATATAACTTTATTCAATATTATAAGTGTAACCTTTCTACAGGAACCAGCGATTGCAACTACAAAAAATGTGAATTAAGAAATCGCAACATAACTATTTCATGTATATAATGAAATTCAACCATAAATACCATTACCATAGTGATTGCAAAAAGTACTTTATTTTTAAATGACTTTTACATTGTAACAAAAGTAATTTTTAATTAAAAGGAAATAAGTCCGTTTTTTTAAATAAGTTCACCCAATCATAATAAGTGATTATTTTATTAAAAAACACTTTTTTTCTAAAAAATAGTTTTAACAAACCGACCCATTGTTTTATTTATCCTTGTGCAATAATTTTTTAAAGAGAAAATTGTAGCGGTAAAACATTATTTGTAGGAAAAGATGAAGATTGTTCAAAAACAGTGTAAAGTTAAAGAAAGATGATAAAGCATTGCTTTACCTGCGCTCTGCTGGGGATTTATGCCAACACCATCTGCATGCATTCAAAGCAAGGAATATGAGTGGCAAATTTAAGATGAATATTACCAAAACAAGATAGGCTATCAAAGTGAAAGGCTGATAGCCAATAATATAACAAACAAAAATACTCTTAAATTCGTAGTTCTTCCGTCATTTGATTAATGTAACTAGTTAAAAAATATACTTAATGAATAGTATTAGACTCATAGTAATGCAACAACAAACGCCAAAACAATCACAACATACGATGGGATCACCAAGTCAACTCAAATAACTAATTTGACAACAAACCCAATTAAATCTCAATCCACTGAACTTCTTATTTTTTAGAAGGGGAAAGGTCTCATTTGCACTGCTATTCCAGATTTAAGAGGACAAAACAGCTGAGTTGATAGAAGATAAAAAGATCAGATATCTTGTCAATATGTTGCCAATGTGAATCACCTTAAAATTGAATATGTTTACCACCAACTTAACTAGTAGAGAATATAATAAAACCTAAAGACTACAATATTCAATCAATTCGAATTCAAATAAACAACAAAAAAAATAAAAATTTAAAGGGTTACTAATTAAATTACAACACCAAAAGTTAAAATATTACATAGATTATAAATTACCTCGTAAGATCACAAATTTCAAAGGGTTTATTAGTTACAACATGCCCTGAATTACTGTAATAAGTCTACATGAAAGAACGGGAAACAACTTCAAATATGTGCTAAACTATAAGCCAGACACTACTTAGCCCGAGAAGCAGACAACACCCTCAAGAGTGAAGAAAACAAGGTAAGGAATGAGGACAATATTTTGAAGCTGACATGTAGAAATTTTTCATTACTCTAATAATCACAGCATTTTCAGCTGCATTCAAAAGGCGGTCTCATTCAGTAAATACATAATTGTCTTCAAAAAGTGGCAACCTTTGCTGATTTAGTATCTAAAATTTTGCATGTATGCAATAATTCATTTCTCAATTTTAAAAAATAGTCTTTTTTTCATGGAGTTGACCGATTTTGAGGATTAAATTTGTCATAAAATGAACAAATTCGGGATTAATTATTATTATATAGTGTAAATTTACAAGGATCAAATCAACACGAATTGCAATTTTCCATATCAAAATTGTATTAGTTCGGATGCATACAGTACAAGTTGCCTCCAAGTCTATAAATTACATAGCAAATCAGTTTTTCGTTCATGCAGTCGACCAAATTAGAGGAGTCTTTACCATGACATTGGTAGACCAGGAAATAAAGTTATACAAATTTCAAAGGGGTAAATGAACATGGATTGCATTGTTTAAAGACAAAATTGTGTATTGTCTCGTATAAAATTGTTCTCTCCTTTTACTATGTTTCGTATATATTTTATTAATACAAACACATTAAAAAATAGTTAACCAAAATAAACAGTACTTTCTTAACCCAAAAACAGGTCCAACTGTGGCAAAGTTTTGTAATTCCCCAAAGGCTGAAACAGCTATAAGGAAGGAAAAGCAATTATCAAAAGGAACACATAATGTATTCAATTTTTCACTTTTGCACAACCAAAGCATGATTTTCAATTCGCATAAAAAGCTAAATATCCTAAAACTTGAAACATCGACATCACTGACTAATAAAAAAAAATCGATCTGACACAAGATAATTAATTACCGTTGGTGATGATAGCGCTGGTCTGGGGCGGGACTTTGAATTCTTCCGCGGCAAATTTGAGAACTGCAGTAAAAGGTGCAGCCTCAGGAACGCTAAACCTGAAAGAAACAAAGAAAATCGTAATTAGGGAAATAGGAAATTTGGGGAAAATGTTGAGAATTGAGAATTGAATGAGCAATATAGATACGCACACTTTGAATGGTAGCTTTGGATCGGACGTCAGTGTGACTTTGAAGGAAACCTTTCCACCGCCCGCCATTTTCCCACTTCAGATTAATTCCCCTGTACCAACAACACCCTCCTTCACCCTTTTGATATTATTCAGCGTAGTTTTCACGCACTTGTCGTTTCATTTAAAACGGCGTACTGAGGATGAACGGGGAGAGAAGCCATTCTTAAAAAAATAATAATAATACAATTATTGAATTTTCAATTACCCCAATTTGAGAATAATTTTCATATATTTGGTAAGAAAAGAATTTTTTTTTTTTTTTGCATTTTATGAATATTCTTAAAAGATAATTATATATATAGAGAGAGACGAATAAAGATACATGGTAGTTCCTTTTGTTTTTCTTTATAGTCAAGTCGTGTGGATTTTCGATTTTGTTTTCTTAAATTATCAATTTTGTTATAAGTAGCGATCAATATTTAGCTCAATATTTACATATTTAAAATATAAATAAAGTATTTTCTATTTGTAGGACATAAATATAAGCAACTAAATAGATACTAAGAATGTCAATACTTTCTTAAAATAAACAGTAACAAATCATCATCTAAGACGTGTAAACTTATAGTGTTATAATTTAATTTTCAATATAGCATTTTAAGTCATTTGCCAACTTTATACATTGATTATAATGTGCTTTTCCATTATTTTCGTATTAATATATTCACACAATTTTTAAAGTCAAATAAATTACATAATTTATATATTATTTTATTAATAAAATACGTGTATTTTTTATATTTTTAAAAAATCTAATCATTAAATAAAATTAGTAGCAATTTGCAAGTTCGTTTACCAATATGTATATCATTGACTGTTGATTAAAAGAAGTAGCTTACTGAGTAAAAGTAAAGAAAAATAAAAAATATTTTAATACAATAATTAATTGAAATAATAATTTAATTTATGAGCCATAAAATTGAGGAAACTGCATAATTATGTAAAAAAAAACGTATACGAATTATATTACTCTTGATAACAAAGTACATAATTGTTATTCTATTATGGACTAAATTAAGGGCCCAAACCCAATTAGCTAAGTCGCAATGTGGTAAGTTCTGATTTTACTACACACACCTGTGAATACCTACGTACTTGCCAAAGCCACAAACACATGAGAGAGGGGTACGTCCACAAAAAAATAAGGTGTTTATTTTTTTTATTAGGAAATAACCTTTTTACATTTACAAATTGTTTAGATATGAAAAGAAAAAGAAAAGTACTTATAAAATAAATAAATGAGAAAACTTTAAGTAAAAATACGTACGGTTTAAATTGAAGAATTAAAAAAAAATCATTTTCATTTATTTGGGTAAATTGAATGGTAAAGAAAAAATGACTTGTGCAGATACAGGAAAAAAAGTTTTCTATTTAAATTTTGATGTCTAAAGGAGAGTCGTCTACAGTGAAAAATGTCATGTGTACAGTAAATTATACAAAAATAAAGAAAAATATGTAAAAGAAAAAAAACTAGTAATATATATAAAAAAAATGTTATGTAAAGTATTCGACAAATAATAACACAAAAAATCTATTATTACGTAGATCCACAAATATATGATCCTCTTTCAGTTTATTTTCTTTCCATTTTCTCTCTCTGTTGCTAGAGTATTACTAAAAATGTTAATACTACAATTTAGTATTTTTCAGTTTTTAGTAATAGGGTGCAAACTTTAGTTAGAGAAGCAGAAAACAAATACAAATGCATAATGATTAGTGAATAAAAAAAGGAATGGAGAATGATGTTTACTAATCGAGAAAACAAATATTCAACAGGAAAAGAAAAAGTCATAATCAAATTAAATTTTTTGTCGAAAAGTACAGTTATATTATTAGACTAATCATGAAGTTGTTAACATATTATAGTTTTTTATTAAACATGTCAGTTAGTTATTGACGTTAATTAGTTGTTAGACAATTTAGATGATATTTTTCTGTATATTTAGTGATTTATTCGTTTTTAATATAGTTAATTGTTTTTTAAGATGAAAATTACATTAATATTAAAAAACATGGAAATTACATTAATACTTATCTATTTTATGTACATGTTGGTTAATTTGTTCAATCGATCTCGATTTACCTCTTAAAATACTTGAAGGTTCAAATCAATGTTGGATTCAAATAGAACATAATAAATGTAATAGGTTCAAAAATATTAAATGTACACATCATATTTATAAGTCTTTGGATAAACTTTTATTTTAATGACAATCTAAAATGGTTTAATTATCTTTTAATCTTATTTAACATAATAATTCCACAATTGATATAAGATTTGTCTTTCTTTACAATCGCTTAGCCTGAATAATTGAGCACGAGACTTGATATTGACCAACAACAAAGCTTGATCCTAATTAGTATAACTTTATTTCTTCCTATTTCATGCGACATGTATACTAAGTATGTTGTCTCATCTCTTCAATTCTCTATCTCAATTTTCTTCATTATAATTGTGTGATTTTATATGAAGATTATTAAGATAGATAATAAGATAGAATTTTTCTTTATGAAATTCAATTCATAATAATCTAAAATAAGTTTATTTCAATGAATTTATCCCAGACGAAACTAAACTGCAAGCTTTGCTCCACTGTAATAGTTCACACAAATCATGAGCAAGGAAACCACCATTACAGAAACCATCATTGAACCCTGTACACTTGCATCTAAACCCTATCTCGCAAACTAGAAGCAAACCAGGAAGCCCATTGCACCCTTGAGTAGCTATGAAGCAATGAACACCATGAAACCCCCGCCCAGATTGAGAGATCTAGATCCAACTACTCTTGTTGTTCATCATGTCGTTCCTGTCGTAGAAGGTTGTGTAGGGGTAATATTGTTTCCTTTAATTTCTTTCTTTTTATTTTCTCTTTTTAATTGTTTTGAATTATCTGTTTAGTGACAATGAAATGTACATTTCTTGAATTGTGTAAATATGGGGAATGAGTATGGGTGTGTGGTGATTCGTTGTGGAATTTTCTTTGTTTTGGTGAACATTTGCTAAATTGAGTGGTGATGGATTGATGATTCAATTGTTTCCTCTAGGATTTTCTATGTTATGTTATAAGGAATGAAGATGAACCTGGATGTAGAAAGAAGAAGCAATTGGTTGATGAGTGGAAGGGAAGCCTCTAGAGGTGAAAACCATGAGGGTAAGATGATGCAACTACGATGATAGAGGCATATCCCTGTATGATACGTTTTATGGAGGATGATGATATGATGAAAATGGATGAAGGTTTTGGCCCCTTATGTATTATGAATACTTATTCCATTACGCTCAATTTATATAATTTTGTTGACATTACATTACAGGCTAACCAAGAAAGCTGCAAGATTATCGAGAGATAACAATCTTGATCTGAAAATTTCACAATAAAGCCTGGATGCTTTTTTGACTTTTTGTTGACCATGACTTCTAAATTTATATTGGGTTATACTTTTTCTGAATCTAGGCCTCCAGGAAACACACTTCGAGGCCAGAGGCGACACCTTTAGATTTTGTCATACGACCCCAATCTAAAATTGATGCAGAAGAGATTAGAGCTCGGGCCAAACAAGCTACCTAAGACTAGTAACATATGAAGGTTGGTGTTTTTTTTAACTTTTATGATTTTTCTAATCCTATTATGATGTGTTGTAAAGTGATGTCTTCTCAAGTCGTAAATATTTAAACATAAAAGTAATAATCATAGTTTATATTGTGAACTAGTATGGAATTTGAAATTTAAGAGATGAATGTATGTATGTTATTTTATTTCTTTATATAATCTTGAAACTTTGTTGCTATTTTCATTGTATTAGTTGTTCATTACATATGAATAAAAAATTACAGGAGTTAAGAACACCTTAAAAAAGGCAGTTTCAGGCTACAAAATTAAGGAGGGTCATGGAATTCAAATATTTGTAAATTATGACAAGGACTCAATATCATGTGATTCTTGAGTTGAATTTGTTGATTTTTCGTCTTATGATCAAATGTATTAATTGAATATATATTGTTTAAGATTTGCATGTTAATTGAATGGATAAGAAAATGGTAAAATAAAAAGAATTTGTAAAAAAAAAACTTACTATGACATAGCTTACATCACCTCTCATAATAAAGTTTAACGTCTACTTACTAATACCAGTTTTCAAATTATAGTAGGTTCACTTACTATGACATGTTCTCAAACTCCATGTTATAGTAAGTTCACTTACTATGACATCGTGTTAACATTTTGTTATTGTGAATTGAACTTATTATGACACGTAGACAAAAAAGATCATAGTAAGGATGATTTATTATGGTTGTTACTCGTTCACGTGTCACAATGAGTTAAACTTACAAAGATAAGTTTTTGATACATAATAGAAAATATGAATTTTCTATGACGCCTACAACACTAAAACAAATGTTATAGAAAAGTCTATAACTGTAACACTAAAATACTTGTCACAAAAAGTTTTTTTTTTAAGAATGTGTTTAAAACATTTTTCAAAAAGGTTTTTTTATAGAAGAACTACTTTATATCACACTGATGAACAATTTATTTAACTAATGATGAATTCATATAAAAAATCAACATTATATTGGATTTAAAATCTAAAATTCATGAATTTATAATTTATTATATTATTATTTTTTTCATTTTTACCTTATATTCACTAGAGCAATGAAGGACTATTGTCTCGGTTGTTTTGGGTTTATGATCGTTGTTACAAAACTTCGGTATATTCAAACGAGGTAAAAAGTCCGGACTTTTGACCTCGGTTCAAAAACCGAAGTAAAAGACTTATGATTATTGCTTCGGTTCTCGTTTGAACCAAGGCCGTAAACCCTTAAAAATAATTAATTTAAGGGTTTATGACCTCGGTTGGGGCCCATAACCGTTGTTTAAAGTATGTTTTTTTTTTAAAAAAAATTATTTGTTTCTTCAAACATTCCATAACATATATATAAGAACACAAACCCAGAAACAAACCTGTAATCTGAAGTTTAAAAAATATTTGCATTGCAAATCTTAAAAATACTCTAAATTTCACTTCGGTTAAACGTTTTCTATTTTTACTAAACAAAAGCTTTTTTTCAAACTTTGCAAAACGAAAACATCAAAAACTTAAAATGAAACTAACCTTGA